AAAAAAAAAAAAATTAGCTGGCGTGGTGGTACATACCTTTAGTCCAAGGTACTCAGGCGGCTGAAGCACAAGAATCATTTGAAGCTGTAAAGTGCAGGTTGCAGTGAGCTGAGATCACGCCACTGCATTCCAGCCTGGGCTACAGAGCAGGACCCTGTCTCAAAAAAAAAAATAAATAAATAAAAATAAAGCCAGTGAGGTGGCTCTTGCCTGTAATCCCAGCACTTTGTGGGGCCGAGGCGGGCAGTTCACCTGAGATCAGGAGTCCGAGACCAGCCTGACCAGCATGGCGAAACCCCGTCTCTACTAAAAATACAAAATTAGCCAGGCGTGGTGGCGCATGCCTATAATCCCAGCTACTTGGGAGTCTGAGGCAGGAGAATCACTTGAACCCGGGAGGCGGAGGTTGTGGTGAGCCGAGATCATACTATTGCACTCTGGGCAACAAAAGCGAAATTCGTCTCAAAAAAAAAAAAAAAAAAAAAAAAAGGAGAGCTAAGTGATGATAAGACAGATGCTTAGGCCAAGGTAGGGAGCAGAGCCAGTGTTCCAGAAGCTTCCAGAAGCCACTGGCACCAGTTAGTTTTCCTGACCCACACCCTTCTGACTTTACAGGAATTGTTTTCCCTCTTTTCTTTTACAAGCGCGGTATGTGCTCCTAAACGCTACATTTTCCGTTGTTTTGAGATCGAGTCTCATGCTGTCGCCTGGGCTGGAGTGCAGTGATGCGATCTTGGCTCACTGCAACCTCTGCCTCCCTGCCTCAACCTCCTAAGTAGCTGGGATTACAAGCACCTGCCACCATACCCAGCTAACTTTTTGTATTTTTAGTAGAGATGGGGTTTCAACGTGTTGGTGAGGCTGGTCTCAAACTGCTGACCTCATGATTTGCCCAACTTGGCCTCCCAAAGTGCTGAGATTACAGACGTGAGCCACCGCATTGGGCCCTACATTTTCATGTTGTTTTATTTCTTTGTTTATTGAGACAGGGTCTCACTCTGTTGCCCAGGCTGGAGTGCAGTGGTACAATCTCAGCTCACTGCAGCCTCCACCTCCTGGGATCAAGTGATCCTCCCAACTCAGCCTCCCAAATAGCTGGGACCACAGGCATGCACTACCACACCCGGCTAATTTTTAAAAAAAATTGTTGCCGGGCGCAGTGGCTCACGCCTGTAATCCCAGCACTTTGGGAGGCTGAGGTGGGTGGATCACGAGGTCAAGAGATCGAGACCATCCTGGTCAACATGGTGAAACCCCGTCTCT